GGAGGGTGGGGGGGCGGTAAAGGAAAAAACATAGTCAAGGAAAGAAAGAATGAAATAGAGAAACGCAGAAAAGAAAATCACGAAGCGAAGTAAACTAGAGGCGGGGAGGGTAAAAAGAAAAATGACAAAAATAACGAGAACGATTCAGGTTCCAGGGGACTCGTCATGTCCTACACAATACCCGAATGAAATTTATCGGTACCGAAAATACACGAATATCTCCGAGCGAAAGGACGTCGTCTACATGATGAAATTACGCATTGAGGCATTATTATTTATGGACTCTGGCTTTCTCGGCGTGAATCGAGTATGATAACACCCGCTGTTTTTCCTTGATTAAAGTACTTCGCGGATCGCTGATAACACGACTGACTGCTTCTTATCTTGGAAGGCTTTGTATGGTTACGATCTTATGTAGGTAATAGATATAGACTTATACGTAGATAAGTATATGCCGCTACGATCTGGGACGTAGCAAAAAATTACATAACCTTTAAGTAGAATAGGTTTGTGCAAGTTTTCGTTGATTTGATAAACTTAGGTGAATCAGAAATTTTTGATCAACGAATGAAGATAGTAACATTATGTATGTACATATAAACCAAAGAAAACATGGATCATATAAAACACAGTCGAATCGTTTACTTTAGTTCGTAGATTATGACACGATGCCTGGAATCTTCTTTTTATTTATGCGTTTTTTCTTACATTTGTCTCTTATCAGCTTCTAGCTTCGATTTTACGAATACTTATGTTTGATTGGGTATTATTGTACGATGACAGGAGATATGCAGACAAAGAGAAGATCGAGAATGTCACGGAATTTTAAGAGGCTCGTTGTATTTTTTAATGAAAATTAAGAGAAATTCTACGACGGGAATATTGGGAATATGCTAATACAAGACAATGAGCTATGTATAAATGTCTGATGAGATGAAGTGAGTTTTCGTGGAAAAGCGTATGAAATACTGCGTGAACCGTTAAAGTCGCGAGATCTTGGAAAATTCGATGAAGAAGATAGTCAGTGAATATAGTAAAGGAAGAGGGGATTGTAGAGAGAGAGAGTGAAAAATCATAGAAAGACAAAAATAAAGGAAATAAGGACTAAGAGAAGAAGAAAAAATATGGCTGCCAGCCAGCCAGGTAGGTAGATAGGTAGGTGGGCAAGTAGGTAGGTAGGTAGGTAGCGGAGGCAGAGGCAAGAGACATGATTGGGGCGAGTGCACAAACGCTCGTAGCAGGAGAGTCAGAAACGTTCAAGAGAGAAAAATGCGATGTTGTCGAGACGTCGTAGAAGGAGGGAATCGCGTTTCCACTGTAGACGGCGTGGAGAGTTGGCAACGTTGAAATCCCTGTTAGGTTATATAGCACGGCGGAGCCACGTTTCGGCGTTTCACGTTTTGTAGGAACTCGGCAGGGACAAAAAGAAATAAAGAGAAGAGAGTCTTGTCAATACATCCGGCACCATAAAAGTATGGCCAACGTACTGCACCGAATAATATGTATTCTTAAATTTTAGGCTTTAGATTATTATTATTAATGAGGCACAAAATAATAGAGAATAACAACTGGAACACTGATACGGTGTTCGAGAAATGCTTCTGCGCTACACTGAACAATATATAGTACCTTTTGCTCTTTGATAATTAATGGTCAGGTTAAAGGAAAACGCACCAGGTACAAGGAATCGGAGTAGGATATGGTTGATATACGTACGATCATCGTGAGGCCCATGTTCCTTCGCTTTGGTATCACTCCTCAAGTTCACGCAAAAATGGTAGGAATAGGATATGGCCTATAAATAGCCATCTATTTTGCTTGGTCGTTCTCACACTCGGTTTCTTAATCTCCTCTTCCTGAGCACTTCAAAATATGTAATCACATCGCGCGAGAAAGCGTTATAAAACAGGCGTTGCCGTCGTGGTAGTTCAGATCGTTGAATGCACAAAACACCATTTTCTAATCCTCTTCGAGAAGCCACTACGAGGATGTACTCGATATAAATTCTAGTAATACTGTTTAGTACCGGAAGAACCGAAATAAAACACAGATATGCTATTTCACACTATATAATACACACTGGATCGCGTACTTTTTGAGGTTAGGTATTACGAAGTGGTCACTAGAATATCTGAGAAACTGCCAGATGGACAATACTATAGTCCATCGTTGAGAATAATACCACGGCGTCCGTCGTTCTCTCTAAGGCGCGCACTGACTCGTAATCGGACTGCTGCAGAAAAAACCGCACTGGGCGCGCACACGCCAAGGAGGAACTCCTTTTGGGCAGAGAATAAACACCGTGGCCGTAGCGTTGCCTTGGCTCGGCTTTGCTCAGGATTATATCTATAGAGCATACGCGAAACCAAGAGAGGCTGGCTGGATCGCAAGACGAGGGAGTTTCGTCTCCCCAGGACAATTACACACGCACGCACCTATACACTGACCATAGACCTAGTGCATGGATATACACGTAAAGAGAGACACGTATGCACATACGAGCGCACCCATGGAACACACGCTTTTCAAGGTGCCAGAAGAAAACTTTTTCATATCGCAGTACAGACTTTGCCGGTTTTTCGCATTTCGACCTCTCTCTTCCTGTAGACGACGTACTTGCTTCCCGACACCGGATGCCTGTTATAGGTTATACACTCTGAACGATGCACTCTGGGGACTGTGTTTTAGGCTCAGGTGCAGGTGCAGCCACGGGCGTTTCTCTTGTCCTCACTGTGCTCTCTCACTCCTCTCACTGAAGAGAACAAGCTTGGTAGACGGCTGAGAGACAGAGAGAATAAGAGAAACGTTGGTAAAAGAGAATAAGGAATAAAGGAGCGTCTAGGTAAAGAGCGTGTGTATAAAACTCATATGCGATTCTCCACTGTACACTTATCCACGTATGCAAAGAGCTTTACTATAGATATACATATGTGTACACGAGTCAACGAGAGAGAGACAGAGAGAGAGAGAAAACTGGAATAAATCGTTCAACATTTCCTGGTGAAATTACGAACCTTCCTCAGGGTAATCACCATAACCTTAGGCGTCAACTAACGGATTACCCTTTATATCATATCCTATTACCCGTGGACTCTTACCGAGACGACTATCCCCAGGTATATCCGCCTCCTTTGGCGCTGGAGGCGCACAACGGACACGGCACAGCACTGCGATTATGTCGACGAACCACGTCGTACCCTGAAGACCGGACACAACCGAAAACCGTGTACAACACACCAACAGCACCAGCAGCAGCAACACCACACGACCACCAACAACCGCTAGCACCATCAACCGCGTTCACCACGTTCGAGAGAGGATACTCTCGTCGACGCGTACAACACCACCTTCTCTTCTTCGTCGCGCGTTTTCTCTCACCGTGGGAGACGCGCGCTTTTCCAGGGGGCGGCCGATTTCAGCGAGGGTCGCCACCGTGTTTTCAGGGCCGCCAGGTTAACGTCATGGAACGTACACCGACACAACCATAGAATCCGTACCGTGGACAGACAGACGGACGTAGGGACGTAGGGACGGACGGACGGACAGACCGACCGACGGATGGATGGACGGACAGGCGGCAGCCTGCCAGAGGAGAGGAGGGGTATCCACGTCGAAAGATAGACGAGGGCGACGAAGAGCCTATCGGGGATCGACTCGACATCAGACGGTGGGGATGGGTCAGAGGACGATTGAGGGGAAGGGAACTGCGTCAGGTCAGGACCGTCTATACATTTTCTGTAACCCTGCTCCTTATTTTCCCAGGCTGGAGTTATTTTACTTTTATTAAAATATCATTTCTTACTATGTTGGATGATGAAGAAACTCTTTTTTTTTGTAGTAGATTTTATGTACATTATTTTGGCTGAATATATGGTCGCAGTTTAATGAGTTCTTATCTTCGTGCTGTACTTGGTGAATTGTCAATCGAGTCATTTTTATACTCTGTTACATTCGTTTTTTTTGCAATTTAAAATCATGTTGTAAACTATCATTATGCATTTTAATGAATTTATATAAGATTGTTATCGGTTCTGTAAGAATCGAGTACCCTTCGAGCACCAATTGGAACGTGCACAACTGGTGGTAAAGAATGTTATTTAAATTCAAGAAACAGGTACATGCTCTAGCGTGTAAGAGGTTCTGTATGGATGGAAGAAGAATATACATAAAACAGATCCTGCAAAACTTTGTAGGCCATAAGAAAATTCGTTCGGCCCTGCACAGTGTCCCCACCTCACAGGAATGCCCATTGGATGACCAGTAGCAGAAAAAGTATCCCGGAATCCGGTACCCTTTTCCCTATTGTATTTTTCAGACCTCACTATGCTCGTGAATCGCAGCATTGCGCTTTCTATGGATATTCGGTGATACTGTCAATATCAAAGAATACCACACTAATCGGTACTGAACGCTAAAGAAATTTGAGACTCGCAGAATACCATGCGAGTTCTGGTGGCGATGATTGAACTAAATAAAACAATCGTCTGAAAGTCGCAAGTTGCATTATCTTATTGCCAAATGACTAATGTCAAAAACTGTAGGACACAGATGAAACCATGTTTTAAAGAGATATAATAGTAATACGCGATAAGAGCCTAACAGTAATGAAGTTACCATTTAACGATACTACAACCTTCCGCTCAGCTGCTTCAAATTATGACTATCACCCATGTTTACCATTTCGAAGCAAGCGTCATTGACTCATAGCAATAATTTATCTTTACAATAATATATGCCTATTACAGCATTTCCCCATCGTGACGCGAGTCAAAAAGACGTTAACAATTGAAACCTGCAGATAATAACAAAATTTCATATCACTCTCAGTAACATGTCTTGAGTAAACCTAGCCCTCTTGCAATTCATAAAACAAAAGAGCCCAACAACACGATTTGAGAAAATAGCTACGAAATATAAATTTCCAAAAAAATCTAACCTCTATCGAGGGTACAAAAAGGTGATGGTACGATCCTGAGTCAGGAGGCACAAGCAAGCTGGCAGCCAGGAGCGGTGCGAGGCAAGACGAGTGCGGCTGATCCAAGCCTGGCGGAGCAAAGGGGCGATTCCGTAAGCGAGGAGTGAAGAGCATGAGCCAGGGTTTATGGTGAGGGGCAAACGGGTGCGTAGAAGAGAAAAGGGGCGCCTAGCCAGGGTGTAGAGGGGAATTGACAAAGAGAGATGCATGTATAGTAGAAGTGGCAATGTCGCCAAAGATCCGGCAACGCTGCGAGAGGCCTCACGGACGCCAGGCAATCGACCAACACATCGACACAGGCGCGAGCGGTGAACGGCAAACCGGAGAAGGAAAGAATCCCGTTTCGCCCGGCCAGAAGAGAAGCCCGGCTGGCTTTACGGGGCAGCCTGGAGAGCTACGATGCTCGAAATTTACCATACTTATGCAGTAGGTACGCTTCTTCTTTGGGATTATTACATACCGCGCTGTGTCGTTCTAATACTTTGCCACATGTAACCTCACTTTTTTCTTTTATGTTTTCATGCATTTTCCATAACCCGCTGAATGCCTGATAGGTTATACTCTTTCAGGAACACGCCATTTGCTTGTACATTTTTAGTGAACGCAAGAACTCTTTTCTTTTAAGCTGACCACTCTTTACGTTTTTCCAAAATCGTAGTTATTATGGATCCCGGTGAATGACCGTGCACTATCTGAATTTCTCAGATTCCGGCAGACGGGGGGATCGACTTTACTACCCAGAAGTTACCTTCGTGTAACCTGAAACGATATCATTGGGCCGCCCTTCGAACTACGATTCTATATAGATTCCTTGCTTGTTTCCCTCGGTATTACGGCTCTCGTGTTGCTCCACGTAATTACGGGCTCCGGGATACACACTGCGTAGGTACAATCAGTTCTTCAAGTATTTGACACGGGAAACACGCATTTGCAAATGTGTTTATTCTTCCCTTACCGGTTGCTCGTGAAACCAGAAACTTTCTGAGCGTTCCCCCAAAATAGAACTGACCACAGGATGGCTTATTAACAGCTACCATACAAACTTTATTTGTGAATTCGTATTCTGCCAAATTTTAAAGTTCTATTTGAGAACGCAGTGTTTGAAGACAGCGAACATTTATTTCTATACCTTCGTAACATATATGAATACAATTTATAGATATAATAATAAAGTTCGACCGGTAAGCATGTTTATATAAATACATCCACGTGGTGTAAACCGGAAGAGCATTTCTCTATCTGAGACTTACGTACTAGATTGCAATAAAGAGGAATCTCCAGTTTCTCCAAGGCTGATCGGTACGACGCTATTATAGTTATTGACTTTCCCGATAATTATCAGCGGTCTATGCGCGTACCATTGAACGATCCTATCAGATATTTAAGTTACGAGGCTAGCAAGTAAATGCCATAACATAGAAATTCATTATTCCAACGAATAAAATATTCGATTTTCTTCATTTCGCTTCGATGAGAACGTGGCTATCGATGACCACGAATATCCACATACATCATAGCTTCCACCGAGGTGAAGTTAACCGGATGACTAAGTCTTGACTGCACCAACATTACTTCCATGTTAAGCAAAAGTTAAGCGTCATACCGATTATGGCAATCGACTATGGATGCTCATTTTCAGATACCTATAGATTGACTGATCTAAAGTACTTCGGAATTTTCAACCTCACTGCAATAGGTTGACGTATAATTTGAATATCAGTTAAATAAATAACGAACCAATCACAAGCGTGGATTTAATTTTAAGCGGAAGTTGAAGTTTCACTTAACATGGAAATAAGGTTGGCTGCAAAGAAGCCTAGTCGCTGTACCGTACATTCGCTTCTTTATGGAAATTTCAGACGCCACTCTCCCGTGCACTGGGGTGAAAACATCTCGAAGGGCTATTTTTAAACGTAAATGCCGGCCATTTTCGATCTATTCGTCCGCGGCTATTTCCGTCGTGTAACCCGCGCGAGAATTGATTTCGTAGCACATTCGGCGGAAGCCCGCCGCTATTGCTTCTTGCTCGGTCTCAAGATGGCCGTCTTAACGCCATCTGACGTATTTATCAATGCGAAGTATATTATGATGCAAACGTCTATAGACTCTGTTGTCTATGCTATACGTATCTTATATATCGATCAGTATCTTTCAGGCCACAAACATTCTTCAATTTAATTGATCTTTAAAGTAGTGTGACTGGCATCTTGCCACAAACTTCATGAAAAATGCACGTTATTCAGGAAATGAGTATTAAAGATTGCTGTTTTCTTTTTTCTTGTGCAAGGAGCTCCTTTATTCTTAAATTACTTCAATTGTATACATTGGCCCCAATTCAGTCGTTCTGCCACTGAAAGTTCCTTCGCTCTCGTTTGAGCGCGAGGAAAAATGAAGGTTCGCGTCAATTAGCCAAACAATTACGGGAATCCCCGGACTTTTCCAAATGGTGGGTGAGAGTGGTGTGTGTGAGGTGGCGGTGGCGGCACTTTGGAAAGGGGAAGAAAAGGGGGAAGTGGGTGCACTGCTGTGTGCAGCGTGTGCTGAAGGGTGGTTGGGGTGCGAGGGAAAAAGGGAAATTAAAAAAATTAAAATGAAAATCAGAACGGGGGGGAAAAAGGCTGATTTTAATTCAACGGTTATAAAGGGAGACGAAGTCGGTACCCGAATATAACGTAAAATAATCTTAATGAAAAAAAATATAATTTTGACGCGAGTATACCAGCATGCCTTTTTCAAAATTTTCAAGTAAAAGTCTTTCTCTATGCACCCTCGTACTCTCTTTCTTTTCTGTTCAGAGGCTGAGAGCGAAAGAGGAAAAAGGAAGCAATGAGGATTCTTTACGCGCCGAGGATACTTCACGAGCACCTCGTTTCCCTGAACTCTTTCTACGTCCCTTGGCGAGACGGAGCCGAAAGATAAAAGATAGAAGAATAAAACTAGGATAAAACGAGGAAATTGAAATAATAAAAATATCCTACCCGATTCTCTCTACGAGAACGACATACAGCCAGGTATTGATTTTACAATTAACACAGCAGTAAGATATAATTAATATCCCGATCGGTCAATTATTCGTTTTAGAATTGACCTAAATGATATATATAATAAATTTTACACAGTAATAAATTATTAAAATATTGATTGCTCTAATTATCAAAATATATATTGTGGCACCTACAAATTGAATCTGTGCATGGTTCTCTAGTTCCAATGTATCGTTATCTTAAACAGAATCGACAATTCACTTGATGCAGACAGAATCGAATTTCTCCCACATCGGACACATTGTGCTGGACACGTGTCGTACACAAATACGTTTGATAAACGTTCCACGCGATTCATATTAAAGCTATACAGTGTACAAAACTATGCACGCATACGTTACGAACGATGGAAGAAAATACGTAAATACACGTGTGCGCAGAATAAGGAAGGAGAAAGTAATAGGCAAAGAGAACCAGCAGCAAGTAGAAGAGAGCATAGCGTTCATTCGAGGGCCACACGGGATCAAAGACTTCGAAGTAGTAAACAACCGTCTGCCTATGGCTATATCTATACATACGTAGGCACCGTATGGCATCTATATATGCGTGCTCTAATAATACTAAAGTTCCGACCGACCGAAAGAGCAGAACCAGTTAAGTCAGTCACTCGTTAGGATGTACATACATATATCCCTGCGTCACATCCTGTACACGTCCATTTTACCATCCTAATAGTATGTTCCTGGCACCAGCATCATATCCCTGGGCGGTTGAACATTATCTTGGAGAATTTTAAAATTTTTCCATTTTTTTTCAAAATGTAATAAAATCATGGAAATCCAGTGTCTCGAGGGACCATGTCTTTTCATCTGGTTCTTACACCGCTTCATGAACGAGGGCCCACTGGTAATGGATACTATCAGGCATGTAGCTGACTCCTACTGTTATTTGCCACTGTGGATTTGGCAGTGTGGCGTAATTAAAATATATTGAGAAACCAATTCGATAGTCAAACGACGACGATAATAGTCGTAATACTGGTTTATGAGACTCGTGACCAGATCAGCCAAAGGTTTGGTAGGTCTTTTGTAGCTCTGTATGTATTAGCCCATACCTGTATACGTAATGCCAAGAGCGTGGTGGACGTTACATACCCAGTACTTGGTGAACGTATGAGCCTACCAGAGTAAGTCCTAATTTCATAGAGACACGAACCACCTCAGGTTCGAGTGTTTATTCATGGGCGATTGACGTGCATGCACATGTGTACAGAACACACGGGAAATACGTATATGCGATAAAGAGTGAACAGATGATGTTCACTGAAGCATTTTCTGGAACGTACAAATTTAAATTAAATGTTTTCTGATTGCTATTAATTTAACAATGAATAGACATGATTTCAATATCAGTTATCTGGTATTTTTTATAACAGTACTTCTCATTGACTTTCAATATCAATATCGTCCATTGTGTCGCCAAACAATTATCGCCATATTGAAACTTGCCATTAACACGCTATCCAATAGTTTGTATCCTGGACCGAAATTCATATCCTCGTAGCACTGAACAAAAAATATATATATGTCTGTGTAATTTTGTGTGGAATTACAGAATAATATTTTTCAGTCGTAAACATTCTTTTTCGATTCACCAAGGTAGCTGTGGTACCTGTCAAACCAGAGAAGTCGTTGATTCCCAATCTTAAATCCAAGAAGTGTAGACTTATTACGTAATAATTAACACTGACGCATATGTAAATCCCATAATCACGGACGTAGTGCGACCCGACGATAGTCGATTCGACGAGGGCCGAGAGTGAGGTTAGAACACGCGGGAAGTTCAAAATAGAAATTTGAGTAAAAAGTGCAATAAGTGCGACTGCCTTGAACCTAAAAATGAATATGAAAATGCTCATAAAATATATTGCAGCATATAGTATTTCCTTCATTGTTATGAAGTCTCTTAATACTTTTTTTTCATTAACACTTTGATTTTATTCCCTTACTAGTAGCTTATAGCCATTGCTAGCTGACCCTGTCCGGGCACACGGATGTCCTTGCGACCGTGTATAGCGTTTTAAAGTGTATGCGCGCAGGTTCCCTGTGCTCTTAGTCATATATATATATATTTTCACACTTATACGTATAAGGAAGTTTGACGTGTGTTAGACCTCGGACGGATGCCCTTTCCAAAGGGACCCTGTGCAATGGAACAGGTTAGGGCTGGTGTGGCTATCTCCGAGTATCGAGGCGGACAATCTATATGTATACACCTAGACGTATGCGTGTATTTTTTGTTGGAAGGGTAACCTCCTTTATTGTGCTCGTTTCACTGTAAACAAAAATGTAAAAAATATATATCTACCACCTGCCCTCAGAACAACGCGTACCTATAACCTCCTCCATTCTATTTTCATCGACAGGATTCTTGCCTGACGTGAATTTTCCAGCTGAATTACATACATGATAATGCTGTCCAGGGTGGTTCTGATGACGAATAAGAAAATGACGATGAAGGTAATTCGTTAACGTTTGGCTAACCCCTCACGAATGTAAGTCTCGTGGAAAGTTAAAATGGCGTGTGCACGTGTCGTTACGAATTTCGTACTGTATTAAAGTTTTCTTATTAATTGAAGGCCTACTTCGTGACGACGAAATGTACGTACGTGTCTTAGAAAATTAGTTTCGCAATACCACCATGGCACAGTCATGGATTTGAATTCCAATTTCAATTTTTTTTAATGGCCTTCACAAGTAATATTACGCTTACTGCAAGAAGTCTCTTTCGGGAATATCATACGATTAGGGCTTTTGTTATTTTTAATATAGCATATACTATGATAATTTACTCAAGTCTTAAAATATCTTTCATGTCATAACCGTTGTTTACTCTTTCCTTTTAACGTCTTCTTTCCTCTACGACTATCCTTCTTCTCTCAGTCCCGGGGGAGGTCATTTCCTGGAAGGTTCAACCAGGCTTCCTTAACTCTGCTGACTACCAACGCGTAACGACAAGAGACGATCATTGTATGATAGAAACCGCAAGCTCTCTCGATACGAAGATAACAAGAAGCCTATTTGGTATCCAGGTACATGAACTTAGACGGTAAAGAAGAACCGCCGCTGAAAAGGCAGAGAGGTTAGATTCGTCTAAGAAAGAATTTAAAGAAAAATAAAAGTTAAGCAGCAACCCTTATCGTGAATAGTAAGACGTTACTGAGCAATGTTTGGCGAAGGCGGTTGTGAACTTTTCAAAAGAGAAACAACATCTATTTTGGAATCGCAAGTCCTGGTGCGACGTTTACGCTCGCAAATTTGAAATTCGGTTCGATGCGACCGTGGTACGGTATTCGTAGGGGTCCGCCCATACAACCAGGTTAGGTAGCAAGGGCGTAGACATCTGGGGTTCACTTTATCCACAGGATAAATTCCCCATCGAACCCTGCGAGAGTTGACGTTGTAACCTTTACCAAGTCCCTATAATGTCTTTTCCTGGACGTCGGATGTTTTTGAACATAGACAGCAGCAGATGAGTAGTTCCGCGATATCCATTCCAAGGTGAGGAACGGCAGTGGCTCGCGAACCCGCGAATCCTAATGGAGGAGCTAAAATAACAATAGCACTGATTACTGTGGACGGTGAAAGGGTGTGGCAGCGCCATTGAGTCGTTACACGCAGGAATAGAGAGCGCGAGCAAGAGGACTCTTGTGAGTACGAGCGAGAGAGAACGACTAACAATAAGTATTGTACGATGAAGCGAGACGGACATAGGCTGTTGACTGAAGAGTGGGGATGTTGTAGGTGGTAGTGGGGATAGAGGAGTGGGAGAACTGGCGGCATAGCTAGATGGAAGGGGCAAGGATGAACCACCTTAAAGGGGATAGTACCATCCGTAAATAATCAATATACAACCGACAAGTTTCCGAACGGTATCCATACCCAAAAAATCGCGCAGGTTCCGTTCGTTCTATCTATACATAGTAGTAAATGAGACTGTACGAGATTCCGAGTCATCGAGATTCTCAGGGACATCATTTTATTTGGTACGGCCCTGAAGTCCATTTGCAGGGTAAATGCTTCGTGAAACTCATCTCGGTGTACGTTTAGTGCGCCTAATAACATTATTTCGATTCAGTTTCGCTTCTCTTAACTTGTATAGGAATAAACATATATTTGCACGGCTTCTGGATGAACCGTTTAAAGTCATCGATTGACAAAACTATTATTCAGATGGGAGAGTGGATTCCTTGGAATTGCACGGTATTGGATAGACTCTAATATACGCAAAAAATAAGATAGGATTTACGGCTGATAATAACAATTCCTGTTTATGTTTATTGTTTTTACTCTAGTCCGTTTTTTCCTATCGTTCGTTATTGACATTATCGAATGCCTACAAATGGCGATTCAAAAAAAGCGTTTTTATGACATTTCCCTTGGTTTCATGGCTGTGCACCAGCTCTTGGTACGAAGTAATCGACTGTCAGGACAGTGTTACCGATTTATGGCAGCAGAGGCAAGATAAGAACTTCGTGGAAGATAATCAAGAGGGTGAGCGGGAAATAGAGGAAAGTGGAGAAGAGAGAGAAAGACAAAAAGGCAGTCCCCGTATTCGTACAATGGATATGCTACGTCTTTCAATTTTTTTTACGGGCTACGTCGTTCGCCAGTTTTCGTAAACAACAGTTGATACACCGGAACGACGGATGTATAATAGTAGTAGCGACATAGAAAAATCATTCCGTGGGGAATTCAACTCTGTGTTGGGATTATCTTAGGCATCTGCACACAGCGATTTCTCGATTGAAATTTCCTCTTATACTCTTTTATTTTTATTTTCTCTGCAAAATTATTTCGTGAACCCATATCCTTCTATTTTGTGATTCTGTTTTTCCTTTATTATTATTTTTCTTCCTTCCGTACTTTGACATTCTGAAAATGTATCTTGACGTTTATTAGTCTTGTAAGCTTATCGGCATATTTCACGAAAAATCGCGATATCGATCTCCTTTCTAAAAGAGTGAGCCGATTCGTCAAAATGAGGTCACCCCGGAATCGGGCGTACCCCCCTCTCCCCAAACCTACGACAAATAATAAATCACAGGCTGAATGTATACTCTCATAAATATTCAAGGAATCCAGAATATCCTCTCGTTGAAATAATTCACGAAAAAGGATCAGACTCTGCCATGTGAAATTTTGAAAAAATCGTAGGAAGGAAGACTCTAGCGGTCGATTCTAGAACTGTGCAGGACTCGTTATATAAACTCAAATAAATTAAAGAGTAGTTGGTGAAGATATTTACGTTTATAAGAGCTATTAGCAAATATAATAAAAAGAAAAACAAGAAGAGGCGAGGGAGAAAGAGTATTGAACAGTCTGAATTGAGTTCTTCTCTAATCGGTGCCTCTTAGTTTCTCGACCTTGACTGACCTCCGCAAATAAGATGGCAATTCCTGTACATCGTGAGACGTAACGTTTTGCGAGACGCACATTATTCGCGGCGACGGAGGAGTGAGGAAGAAAAGCGGCGAAGTTCGTGGTGCGTTCAATTTTAACCGCTAGAGGAAGTGAGGGGGGACACCGTTAAATCCATTTTTAGTTAGAGAGGTGTACTTGGCCGATGCGTAAATAATCGAGGTTTGCAGAGGAGGGTAAAGGAAGAGGAGGATGAAAAATGAAGGCAGGTTGAGAACAGTGTACGATCCGCTTTAGTAAGGACGTTATAGCAAGTTGCTATGGAGAGTAAGCTCTTCAACAAGCAGAGAGTTTACTATATACATATATAGCAAATCAAATAGAAATGGTTTACCACCTTTACCCTTTGACAATGGCGCTATTTGAATCGCTAACCACGTGCCGCCTTCTTTGAGCACCTTTCTTCATATTTTTCGATACTTCGATCAATGGTTCTTATCAGGAATTAAAATGACTAAGCACTTTGTTATTCAATTATAACTGATGAAAAGGTCATGATGCTTCGTTAGATTTTACTAGACTGTAACTATTTTTTTCTTGGATGAACATAAAGTTGAAAGAAAAATCTTATTCTCCTAAGCAAAATGAGCGACTTTGTATCGATCCGTGACTATACGATCAATATTTATTTCATTTATTTGTACGATATATGATAAATAATAGTATATCCCTGTATTTAGAGAAATGCAAGAGTATGTTACAACCGTGCCAAATCGCAATGGGCGTTCGTTTTGTTCCCTGTGTGATTGACTGTGTAGTACGAAGCAATTTCAAATACTGTTTTACTATTTATTAATGATAATGATGTTCCCTTGAGAATTCTTTGTGTGTGCATGATAGAAGGACGGTCGTTTCTTATCGGATCATTCACGCCAAAACACACTACGCAATGGCGTCGCAGTGCCTGCTGTAACCGAGGTTAGGATTCGGTATTCTTGGCTTTAATTGACTATTTTTGTTTGGCAACCTATGAGAGAGAGAGAGAAAAAAGAGGCTATGGGCTTGTATTAGGTTCTTCACATTTATGGATGTCCTGTTCTGTTTTGGACTTATCGGAACATGATTTTAGTTGGATCCGTCCTAAATATCGGTGGCAGTACTGGTGGGCAGAAAAGTGGCGCGCCATTAGCGAAAAAAAAAAGAAAAATTGAAGAAGACGAATAAGAAAAATGGATTAGGTAGTCAGTTCGACTTTGGGATAAATATACGTTGACCTCTAACTGACTGTGGTCCTCACTTGTTTGTAGTTGGGCTTTTCAAGGCATACGTAAGTTTTAGTCCACAAGTCGAACACCATTGAACGATTCAATGGATGGATGCGTTAAGTTATTGAATGCTGGCAGAATGTCTTGTGTTATTGTTTTGACTACAAAAGCCCAAGGATTCTTTACACACCCATGAATTGGCAGTAGTCGACAAACAATACTTTTGTTATATTAACAATTATTTATTAGATATACACATGTTTAGCTTTTACAATACCTATGTTTGATTGCTATGTTTTGAGTTGTAAGACTTTTTGTACATTCTCTGTGCACCATTTTGTTAAGGGTAGATTTTCCATATTATCTTTGGAAATATCGACCTTCAAATCGTATTTTAGGTTCTGATAATTATTTAAATTAAATATACGAAGTAAGGCATCTGTTGCTGCCACTTCCTTTGCCACATCAATGGTTTCACCACAACCTTCGAAATAAGAATAAATTATTTTACTAAAACATATCTGTGTATGATCAATTTTCATACTCTACTCACCAACGCCCAGAAATTCTTTGTTTGAATATACTGCTACTCGATACACTGGTATTAGACTGTTTATACCAGTTTGGGAAATTAGCCTGGGTTCTGCAAGTTGACGATTATCTTTTCGAAGTATTTCATTCAAATTTTCTAGCGGATTTGATGGAGTCCATATCTCAATGAGATCTTTCTCAGCTAATGTTGCAATTAGAAAGTCCCGAACGAATGCACCAGCATGGATAACGTCAACGCTACGAGTGAGAGCTGACACCAATGCTAGAAACGTGTCAGCTAGGATTCCTTCGTCTGCTATATTTCCCTGAAAATAAAGTATATATCATCTGGATCTGTTTTTTGTTTTCAAAATGATTAATAAACTTACAGCCACTAAAATGATATCCTTTGTCCCAATGTGTGAAGAAACATGAGCCAAAGTTTTCTGGGATAAAAGATGATCATGAAGCGCACTATAAAAAATAATCACACTTGTATTATACCATAGTTTAATTCCATGATACTCTAATTTTTTATATACATACAAAATACATTCTTCTGGTGCAAGAGGTAAACATTTCCCTAAATAGGAGACAACAATCCTTGATGTCAATTCAGCACCTTCTTCAATCATTTCTCGATTATCTTCTATGTCAAGCTTAGGCTCTGTAATACCAACATCTCTCTGTTTTTGTTCTTCTTGAATCACATATGACCTATGTGTTAGTGCTTGTACAAGAAGTTCTGAATCAAACTGTTCAGATAATCTTTTGTTAAAAGCAAATATTTCAGCATCAAAGTTCCATTCTAGAAATGTATTTCGAATGGGTACAGGTTGAGGACCCATTTTTTTTTGGCGGACTGCCATTACCTTTTTCACTGGAGCAACCCATCTTTTAAAACCTCTTTGACCTGCAAAAGAACCTGTTTTATTTGACTGCCTATTATCATGAAATAGTTAACATCCCATTCTAAATGTAATAACCTCAAATCTTCCCTAAACATTTGACACTACCTATTATATTATTATGGAATATTTACCTGAGCAAGTTATCGGAATTAATCTGTGAAGCTGGCTTATCATTTTGGCACATGAGTGTAAGGTCGTCATTGCAGCTTTATCAATGAAGGGACTTAGTTGTTAGTATATCCAGTTATAAAATCAGAAAGCGGCCATGAAAAAACGCTTTAATGGCATTACCCATTGAACGAATCAGAATAGTATAGCTTTAAAAGCAGCGAGGTGATTGGTGGAAGTCATGTAGTATACCCCCACTCTCGAAGAGAAAAGATATACGAACGAGAGTTGAGGAGTTAAGAAGTATAGAATATAGTTCATCTTGGGAATGAACCGGCCAATGGCCGCCGTATCGTTGCCGCGTAGATTTTGCCCGCGCAAACCTTGTGAATCGACAAAAACTTAATAATTGGGAGTATTTTGAGGATTTGCATATCTGAACGGTAAGTAAAGATTATAATAAAGATATAGTAATGTGTAAGAACATTCGTAAGAACTAACAAAACGTTTTTAATGCCGATATATTAAAGCGTTGTGTATGCTTCTTGTAAACAAGCGCAAAAAATCTTCACCTCCGACAATTATGCTATTTTAAGATCACCGATAATGATTTATCTCCGGATTTACTGCGATTCCAGCATGGACACCTGTACTTTAAGTGGAAATTATAATTTTTTTCTTCAAATAAAGTTTAATCGACTGCCTTGTCAGGTCTATATGCTAGGCTTGTAAGGGGAGCGTGTAATGTGGTAATCTTATGTGTGGGAATGCCTAAATGCGTTGTTTTGACTTTTACTTTTTGTGATGAAATTAGTGTAAGCGCGATATCTCTTTTATTATAGGAGGTACGTGTTTCTCTTTGTATGTCTAGTAACGAGTTTCAGTGCAAATTTGATTGTTTGGTAAATCAACGTTTTCATTGTTTCGTAAATCAAGGTTTTGATTGTTTATTTTTTATTTGATTTTGATTATACTGTTGAACAAATTAATGTTGATAATGCATATTTTATTCGATATCTACATGTTTGGAGGTTTTAAAGGTTATATGTTGGGATAAATTAAGATTTTGTTTATTTACTAAGTGATAGCATTAATGATGTTTCTATATACTATAATACGAGTTCATTATATTAAAATAATTGATGCTACGACTAGTAGTATCCTAGTTCTCATTTATCTTACATGAATTTTATTTAGAGCTGCTTTATAAAAAATGGTCGAGTCTGACCATAGTGATGGAGGAGAGGAGGAAGTGCTTAGTAAGACATCTCGCAGGGAGAGCACAGTTGAACAGAAGTCATTGGCCATAACCAAGCGGACTCGAGAAGATTGCTCAGATAATGAGAAAACAGAATTACCTAGCAAGAGACCACGGAGTATTATCAAGGACCCAGAAGAAAAGGATACATCAGGAGCAAATGGTAGCGCTGAGAGTTCTGAGGAACCAATGGATGTTGATAAGCCAGATGACAAGGACAGTCCTGCAAAACCAGAGGAAAGTGCAAAATCAGGAGTCGCAAAAGGTTCTGAATCAGCCAAACCTGATTCGAAGAAAAATGGAGACTCTTTGAAATCCTTGGTACAGGGACATGAGAGTGATGACAATACTGAGAGCTCTAAACCAGATGTACACAATGAAGAGGAGAATGAGGTATCTAGTGATATTAAGGATGTTATTTTAAAGTTTCCTTTTTAAGTATAACAAGTTACCTTACAATAGTTGAAACAAGGGTCTTGTATTAAACTTTGTATTATTTATTATAACGTTTTCATAAAAATTAAAAGGAATCTATAGCAACGGACAAGGACAAAGATGATGTTGGTGATAGCACACTGGATACATCCGACAAAACTAATGGAGATGAAGATGTAGATGAAGACAATTCTGAGGATGATAAAAAAGATAAGAAGAATAAAAGTGGTGAGGCTGTACGAAAGAATGATTCTGAAGTAGTAGATGGCCTAGAACTATCTGTAGAGTGCGCAAGCGATAAGGAGCTTTCCAGTTCAGAAAGTGATAAAGAGAAGGAAGTCAAACCAAGACCTAAAACTATAATTGTCAAAGCTAAGCCGAACGATTCGGAGTTGGACGTGAGTTCATCCGAAGCTGAAAAGTCTGATGAGGAGGATGAAGGTGAAAACGACGAAAGTGATGGAAAAAAAACTAAGAAGAAGGGGAAGAGGAAATCTTTTACTAAAGTAAAGAGTTCAGGCTCTGAGGAGAGTTCAGATAATAACTCTGCCGACGAGGATTATAGCCCACGTACAAAAAAGAGAATGAATAAATTCACAACACCCAAGAAATCTACCTCCAAGGCTTCAGACAGCAAGAAGACTCGAGGTCGTGGAGTGAAAATGAGCGCAAAAGTGTCTGAAGATGATAAATCTGATGAGGAAAAATCTGACAAGAGCGAAGACGATGAAATGAGTCTTGCAGACAGAGCAAAGAAGTCTACGACATCCAAGGATAAGGATAAAATCAAGGAGAACTCAAAGAGTAGTTCTGGTAGTGAGGAAGATGCTAATGGTGATAGTGAGGACAGTAAGGATACTAAAAATGGAAAGAGAAAGCGGAGAAATATCGTAAGTCGTGTCATTTATTATACTATATCCTATATAAACGAAATATAAATTTTATTTATACTTGATTGCAACTAATGTTTGTTACAGACACCTGAGAATGATAAGACAATCCAATCGCTGAAAAAATATATTCGTGCAGCGGGTATAACAGTTAAGTCATACAAGGAATTATGGTCAGGATGTAATAGTAACAAGGCACGTGCTACGCGTCTGAAGGAACTTTTGGAAAAGAATGGGGTTAAGGGCAGACCGACTTTGTATAAATGCAAGAAAGCTAAATTAAAGAATCTGCAGATCAAAGAGGTTGCTGAACTTGATACAAGCAATATTATATCAGAAGGTCTGTAAAGAAATCCTTAAGTTTACTCAGCATTTAATCTGTTTGCCTTTCTTTTATTTTATTACCTCATCTAATTACAGGACGTGTTACGCGCGCGAGAAGGGGCGCTGAAGCTAGCAAAAAACCGGTTGCATCTCCCATTCCGGAATCACCAATCAAACAGCGCGAAGTTAAGAACACCTTGAGGAAAATTCGAAGTGTCGTGGACAGTGATTCATCTTAGGATGCTTCTCTGAAAGAGACCCCAAATGCGAACTGGCATACAAATTATAGGTGCTGGAACGTGGTGCATATTGGCGGGGTTCGCGATCTTTGTTTTTCGCCGTATTCTGGCGAAAACCTTTTATTATATGATATTAAACATGTAAATTATGATACGCCCGTAAACGGTGTAGAGTCGCATTCACAGTCTATCATTACATTGAGAATTCCCTATGTTGTGTGCACGCGTCACTCGGCCGGATATTCGTTGTTTCGATTCCGTTAAGCGATTTAAGGAAAAACGCTTGTATTTCACATCTTTTATACTGATTTTGCTATTATTAAGAAAAGCAGTATGTTTAAGAGGACGTTTGTATAATTCAAATATGTATCTAATGAACAGAGTATTGTTATAAATCTGGTACTAGAAGATAACGTGTATCTTTATTTTCATACATTCCTCTTGGTTTTTCATAAATGAAGTTAGACCATAGCAGAATATAGTTTCCTTGTTTTTATTCTCCTTTTCACAAAACCTTTCAACTTAGATACAAGTTACAGCTTTTAGAGTAATAATTTAGTGTTTACCTCATGTATCAACAATAGTATAAAAAATATTCTTCATGTGAACTGTGTAATGATTTGTATTTTTGAACAATGGAAGTGGCAGATAACTATTCATTTCCTAAGAACGTTGGATCAAAATAATCGCCTTTTGCTTCAATGCAAGAGGCTGCTCGCTGTAATATAATTCTTGGCAAATTTTGTAATGCATTAGCATTGATTTTCACATAAGCCTTATATAATCTGGATTCAAGGTCCTCAATAGTTTCAGAAGTTTCCTCATAAACAAACTTGTTCAATTCCTCCCACAAAAAGAATTTTAAGGGGTGAAGATCATTAGAACAAGAAGGCCAATGTACAGGACCACCAGGACCAATCCATTTCTCTGAGAAGACGTTATTTAGATGACGTCTGATTTTCTTATCCTGATGTTCAGATGCATCATCATGTTGAAACCAAAGACGTAATCGCACAGAAAGAGTCACATTCTCTAGCAGTTCTGGTAAAATATTCTGAAGAAATTCCTTATAAGTTTGGTGATCGTATTTCTTGAGGAAGAGATATGGTCCCAAAAGACTATTTCCTAAGAGACCAGCCCATACAAAAATTCCTTTTTCTTCAGAAAGTAAACCATTACAAGTTTCTTTGTATGGGAAATAATTCACATCACTCCATAAAATTTCAGACAAGAAATTCTCGTTAGTGATCTGTTGTCGAAGAACCCACTGACAAAACTCATACCTATCAGATTTAATTTCTGGATTTTTTATTTGTAGGGATTCATTTTCCATAGCTATCTCATCTTTTAGTCGAGATATTGGTTTTTTTATTCGTTTAATCTTCTTTGAAATTCTTTCAAGCGATACCAGGCTTCCAGTTTGCCTCAGTCTATTTTCCAACCGCCTAATGACATTCCCATCAGGATGTCGACGATTAGGGAATCTTGTAGCGTACTCGCGTGCTGCCAGCGTAGAATTACCTTTGCAAGCACCAAGTATCAGGTGCATGTCACAGTACTCACTAAATGTATAATTCATTTTGTGAAAAAATAATTGTAATTGGAAGTTTCTTTAATACTTATTCAGAATAAATGAAATGTTATACTATCAAATGTTCCATGAGCGATATTTTTATTACTGACAACTTTTATTTCTCATTGTAAGTGTAATATACATATACTAGCATGCTTCACTAATTGATTGCATCTTTTACTTTATAATAAACAATTCCATGACTACATGTAACCCAGGAAACAGTTTTCCTTTATTTTAAATTTGATTAGGTGTTAGGGTGCAAAATACGTCAGACACGTCAGATGAATCGGCGTCTTAAGTAGAGTCCCTCTTGGTCCCTCTAGTAAAAGTCTGGCCAACGGTTTAAGACCATTTAAGACGTCAAGTCCCTCAGTAAGAGTCCGGCCATCACCCGGAAGGGACGCCATTTAAGGGCTTGTTTGGCGCCACCATGACATTGCGCGCGGATTTTCAAACTATCAATCTTTACCATCAAGAGACTCGGTCGAGTCTCGCGCCAAGTACAGGCAACCCGCCGTACAGGGCTTAACACTACCCAACTACACAATGCGAATCTCTCCCATATACGTATTCACACAACCATTCTATTCCGGAAAGAGCCCATAATATGGCGGAGCCAATCACTAACAAGCCCCATCGTTGGCCAGACTCTTACTAGAGAGACTAAAGGAGGTTGGTGCGCTTTATACTAGTCAAATCAATGCTAAGTATTTTTTAAAGGTTCATTTGTATAATAACATACTTATGCCTATTTTAGAGAAACATTCATAACAATAGTCTGATTAATGACGATTTCCAAAGATTTTTATCAATTTTTTCTAAAAATAATCCGTAATTTGTTACACATTGTTTCTTCAATAATCCTTTCAATAATTCACCACTTAAATATTTGACAATTTTAACGCTTTAATAATTATAACCGTTTGTTTATGAAATTTGTACGATAGATAAACAAACAGGCTATCCTTTTTAAACGGTTAGCACCATCAAATATCTAGATGCTTAATTCGTAGAGCGTTTTTCGAGAAACAAAATAATATGTACATCTGTTCGGTTTATCACTCACGGGCTTTTGGGAAGAAGAAACGCTGATTTAAGTATTTATTATATCCTAAAGTAATTAATAAAATCAATATGCATGGTGAACGAATCGATATAAAACAAAGTAACGATCGAGTCTAAGATGGCTGTTTTACTTTGTTAGTTCTCTTATGATAATAGTGAAAAATAAGTAAATGCAAAGTTTTAGTAGAATATAATAAAAATATTTATTAGGAACTCTACATTCATGTGGAGTAAATTGACTACTTTTGGAAGTAGTTAAATTTTTGTATTAACTAAGGCTGCTTTAATTGCAGCAAATAGGAAGATTTTGAATGGTTAAAATATACATTGCATTGCGGATTATTTTATGCATATCTGTTTACACAATAAACAAAAATCAGATGAGATTTTGTTTCAATATTTCAAACTTACGAAAAAATAATATATCTATATAATAGAAGATTATTTCTGACCCATCTTACTTTGAATTCTTTTGTTTATATTAAACAAACAAGCGATATATCTTACAATTAGAGTAGAAAATACAGTGCCTTGGCAGTATTCAAAATAAATTGTTCTTGATCAGTCTATTCGTACAAAGCTCCATTAACCATTACTAAGCTTTTTGGCTCATGAACTGCATTATGCATTCCTTACTACAAAATGGTTTGTCCTCCTTAATTGCCATTTTGCCATTTAGTAAGCTCTTTTTACAAGTAAAGCAACAGAAACACTTATCGGTAGCATGAAAATCTAAATTCTTAACAGCTACTCCTTGTTGATCTGCTGCAATAACTTGCATGCAGGTACTACAGGTCTTTGCATACGTTTTCTGATAACAAGGTAGACAAAGTGGACGATCATTTTCTGAAATATACTGTTGTCCAGCTAAAGGCATATCGCAATCCCAACAGCAAAAATGACGCACGTGATAATTATGTCCTTCAGCCACTGTATATTCTCGTACAAAAATTAGCTGCAAAAATACATATTTAACAAAATTAATGAGGTAGAATTAACATGAGTAATATGTTTAAAATAGATTATATTAAATAATGTAACCATACCTCATCACAACCGAAGCATCGTGGAATTTGCAAAAGTGTTGCTAAGTCTCTTCCACAGTAAAGTTTCCCAGTGTGATAAAAGTAAATGAGATCAGCTAGAAGTTCATTACATATTGAGCAGGCAAAACATCCAGGATGCCAAACAGCATCTTTAGCCATTTGTGCAGTAACCACAACGTCCCCGACATGTATGGGTTCCTGACACTGATGACACTTTTGTTGAATAGGCATTACACTTAATTGCTCCATCGCTCCACGAAGTTGGTCCACTGAAGATGGATTCTGTGCTAGCTGAGGTGCACCGACCATTCCTTCGGGGAATACAGGATTTTTTAATGATTCGGAATGGATTACATTGGAGTGTACCGGAGAGTAACTCAATTCTGCTTGTAATTGATGTGGCACAAGACGTTCTTGGTTCAATTGCAAAGGATCATTGATGTTTCTGTTTTTGTTAGGCTTACAATTCTCAGAGTACTGTGCTTGTGCTTGGTATGGGAGAGTAGAGGAATTTATATCCATTCCTGGATTGCATTGATGCTGTTGGGGTTTGATTTCTCGTTGTTGATTATGGACGTTAGAATAAACTGACTGTCCTGAAATTGGTGGTAAGCTGTCTGGAATTGGTCGTAATTCTTGATCATGGAATTGTTGCTGTAAAGAGGGTTCCGTATGTTGAGGATAATGGATGTTATTTAGTGGCACATTATATTTTTGATGTTGAAGATATTCTCCTTCCCGAAGAGGGCTTGAATACTTGGGAGCCATTTTTTCTAAAATTTCTTCTGATGATAAGGTTCCTGAAGGATTTCTCATGGCAGCAATTATGGCAGCACGTTCTGCTTCCTTATCAACAGAGAATGGTATATTTTTCGATTGTGACTCCTTAATCTTACTCAGGTTATATATATGCTGTGGACTTCTTGAATGAAGCTCTTCCGATCTAATTGTATTATGAGGAATTGGATCATCTTTACTATACTTAGCACTGAGTTTTTCTTGAATATACTTCAACTCATTCCTATCCAGAGTACTTCCAATGATCTCTTTATTGTGAACAGCACTTGGTGGAAGTAATGCTTCGTTCAGCATTTCCTCAGCTAATCTAGAACTTTCTTCAGCCGTGTTTTCAGGTAGGATTCTTTCATTTTTCATATGATCAGGAAGATTTGCTTGTAATATAGCAATCAATTTTTTCTCAATATCCTCTTGGTCGCCAGTTACTTCAATTAATTCAGGATTATCTTCTGTGAGAATAGCGTTAGTACAGTACTGGCTTCCACGTAATTTGGAATTCTCAATAAGATTACCAGGAGTTTGCTGCACACGAACAGTTTGCGTTTCATAAGGAGATCCTGTCATTTTTGAATAGTTCTCGTTATTATTAAGAGTATCTGACCGTGCAATATTGTGAGACGATTGTTTTGTTCCTATTGGAACAATTTCTTCTTGAGCAAATTGTCTCACTGGATTAGTTTCTACTTTGACTCCTGTTGTAGACATGTCAGTTTGCTGCTGTGGAATACTTTCCATCTTCCCTGTAAAGTGAGTCCTCTGTGGTACATGCGCATTCGAATCCTTCAATTCCGATGCCAATTCATACTCCTGGTTGCCAATTTTACCAAGATATGGAAAATATTGTGCAGGATTGTAGGTGCCCCCATCGATTTTCCCAGACATTGCAATTTGTGCATCGTTCAGTACATTTGCAAGAACATGAGGGCATTCTTCTGATCGCCACGGTAACTGTGGGGTATTCTCTGCCAGGTGAATTAAGTTGGATTTTGTGTTGTCATAGAGTTCGAATTGCTGATTATACATTGCATCTGTAGACGGTAATGGTGGTATTTTTGGAACGAAACTGCTAGGTGTTCTTAAATTTAGGGATTGCCCAGCACTAATTTGATGTACTTGCTGAGAATCAATACGCTGTGTCTCAGGGGGATTTGACCTAGCCATTAAAGATGCACTGTACGGCCGGGCACCCATCATCTGTAATTGATTATTGAAAATAAATTATCATTACGTAATGACGTTCATTCGTGAACTTGTATGCAGGTAGGAAAAATCAAATTCATTATATCTATTTAGCAACGACATTGGTAATGACTGAAATGACACTAATTCCATTTGTCGCTTATGTCATTGGTGAAAATATCAATGGATACATAAATAGCATACCTTTATCACTGTACCCTGGCCTACGTATTTCTTTAGGTTTTCTAAGTATTTCTCAAATTGTTTTCTTTCTTCTTCACTAAGTTCGTCACAAGCTTTGTGATCAATATCATGTATTGGGAATTGTTTTTGAAGTTGTTGTCTTCTCAGTGCTGCACCTGCTGAGCCCTTTATTGGCAATTTATCCTCAGGAAGAGCTTTCATGTAGTCTGTTGCGAGTTCTTTTGTCGTATCCGGTGGAATCCATTCAAAGGGCATTTCATTTTCTGATAATTTTTTAATAGGAACACGTAGGACTGTAAAAATGCATTTTTTAAGTGACAGTAATTCTCGTCTCTTCTACTTTGCTGGAGTTCATTTAACAGTTTGATGTTGACATTATCTTTTCTGTTGATATTGTGCTTACATGTTGCTTTTTTCTTTGGTCTGCCACTGGGTCCTAACAGGAGATCAAATTGTGGAAATTCATCATCATCAACATCATGATCATCCCTACTGCACTTGCAGATTTTACAAATTTTTCTCCAGAAGTGAAGATCTAATCCGGGACAACTAGTCTTGCAAATCAGGCATGGTGCACCAGCTCCAGCTTCGTGAGCCAGTCGAGGCTATTGATTAATATTAAAATGAACATAAAATAAAACAAATACAAAACAAAGTTTCTGTAATAATCCAATATTACTAACAATATATTGTCAATAAATAAATTAATTTAATTATTGACTCTTGTTCCAAATATAAACATATTAAATATAGAAATTACATGATTATATTAGAAGTTTATCTATGTTTTCATAATGATATATTTCCAGATAAGTTGTTATCAATGAATAATCTGTCTCGTATCGACATCTTTCTTTGCAGCTTAAATATTAAAATGATAGCACAAGGATATGTCTATGAATTTTTTAATATAAAGTAATAAAGAAATTTTGGAAGTAGGAGTTTTAAAGACTTACCTTTCTCTTGCGATTTTCCAAGTTGATCATCCATTTGGGCCGATCGTCTACGACCTCTACAGTGTCCTGTATCCCCATTAATAATGTTACTTCAAACAATCTTTCTGATTTACACGAAAATTCTTCAGAATCAAGGTTCGTCCCAAATAAGAATAGTCTTTAGTAATAATCTGAAAATGACATTCCTCGATCCTATGTACATGACAGCTCAGCTTAGCTTTAACTTGTGACTCACCAACTTCTCTGGTACTCAAGTGTTACGGTCAGTGTGAGTAACATACGCGTTCTTGGGGCCCCCCTCTACGATACTTGTCATTCCTAAGGGGACCCTCGTGGGGGATATTGAGTAGGGGAACCGTTTGGGTAGGGGTCGCAGGATCCACATCTTTTATACTCCTCTGTACTCCTCAGATGTACTTTGTTTCCGTTTTTCCCATAGGGTACATACAAGTTCTCTGACAGACTTTATAAACGTGGTACTATTTTTTTTCTTGCAGGCAGAAAACAACTAATCGCTCAAAATTGTTGTACTTTGGGTCACTGATTTTATGTTTGACATATTCCTTGTTATATGTAGTAGAGCCACGTTTCCAATGATGACATCTTTGTAGCCAACATAATTTTTAGCTGAATCGTTTTGCCACATGTTTGTTAGTTCACTTGTTAATTTCTCCTGTACAAGTGAAAGGAGTATTTTTTTTTAAGAAAAATTCGGACGCAAATATCTCTCTTATTATGTCTGCAATCCGTCCGAATTTTTTTTTCATCTTTATTATTTTTTCTTGCTCTACAACTTTTGCATTTAACTTGTTTCAATATCTTTTGAAATGGCGAAGATAATTTTTTTTATTTGCGACCGGAAGTTGAGCGAACAATAATAATATGCCCATTCGATGCGCAATCAAAAAACATTCAATGGTTGTGACATCAGATTTTCCAAATTGTGCACCGTTTCCCCGCAAATCTCAAACGTGCATTTCTGGTGATACACTCTGTATAGTGTAGTTATATTTAAGGACCAATGAGTTACTTTTAATTATCCGATATAAGTAATGGATTTTGAATGGTTGATAATCGTATAGATGCTAAGTATTATGGAATTGAAGGAGCTTTTGGAATTTCTCATTTTGCGTAAATTCCACAGACAATATTTCTGCAAGGAAATTTTATGTGAAGTAACATGCATTTTTCATTAGTTTAAGCATCAAATATGTTAAATGTAAGCAGTGTAATATTTTCTATATTCTACGTGTGACTGCTATTATATTAATACGAAAAACACGTGTATTAACAAAGGATTGAGTGTTGTATTTAAATAAACATTACAAGAAATTATTTACAATAATACAAACGAAATATAACTCGAGGTACAGTTGTACTTAAATGTCACTTGTTGTAAATAGAGTCATAGTGTTTTATTTGACACCAAAGGCTTCATCAAACTCTTGTTGAGAAATCTGAAGTAAAATAAATGTTTCACTCTCTACTGGTAATATCATTAACGAATATATATTTCAATTCTATAACTTACCTTTTTCCTTTTGAATTTCTTTATCAAAGCTATGTCTTTTGCTAATTCTGCCAGATCCTCCTTGCTAGTCTTTTTTCGTTTCTTCTTCACAGGACCAGCCAAAGCCTTTTTTTCTTTCCTTTTATTACGTTTTTCTTTTTTTTCTACTTTTTTCTGCTTAGCCTCAGACCAAGCTTCTGTCTGTTTCTGTTTACGTTTGTGCTTACCGGGCCAAATACCGGTTTCTCTGTAAGTATTTAACTTTTCTTGTCTAACTAATTCTTGTTGTTTGTCCTTGTAGGCCAGAGTGTTAATATCTATCTGAGGATCCTGAAAAGACGAGACATCTCGTCCTTTCAGTTCTGGCATTTTTGGCATTTTTAATAAACCAAAACCCATTGCTACTTTTCCTAAATCGAGATCCTTCAGCCTCAGTATTAGATTGCATTCGTGTTTATTATATGCTTGTATGTATGATACAAAAGCCCTATTTGCTTTATCGAAAAGGACTCGATCCTTTTTTTGAAGATTCCTCATTGTTTTTAAACACTTTTCGACTAAAGAAGGTTCCTTCAATTGTATCATTGATAATTCTACTTTTTGATTCCTCTTGATGAATTCAATATATGCGTCTTCGGATTCTAGTAGCAATAATAGAGCATTGCCTTCATTGCCAATTCTGGCAGTCCTTCCACATCTGTAATTAATCGGTAATTGATAGTTAATGGTGATATTTATGTTTAAGTAATTTGGTTATTTACCTATGAACGAAACTACTAGCTGTCGAAGGGGGATCGTATTGCAGTACCCAATCCACTTCAGGTATATCAATACCACGAGCCATTACATCTGTGCATAAGAGAAGACCACTTTCCGTAGCACGGAACTGTTCAAATACCTTGTATCGTTTATTCTTCATTTTTCCATGTAACGCAAATACGTTTGAGTATGGTAATATCCTGAAAATTAATAATAAAAGTCATACTGCTTCTTTACTACCTAATAAGTGAATGATTGACACAAAAACTTACGCTTTGATGACATAACTGAAATAGTCAACGCATGCACAAGTGGAGAAGAATATCATGTACTTTAAATTTATTCCTTTTATCTTTATGAATTCAAGCATTTGAGCAAGTTTAGTTTCAGCATTTGTTATGGCATAGTTATTGATCAGATTCAATGGAGTTGATACACTTGATTTTTCTTTGATTGTCACTAATACTGGGTTCCTTAAGCCAGCTCTGATAAGCTGTTGCAATTGTTTAGTTTGTGTTGCTGAGAATAATCCGGTTCTGCGCAATCTTGGTAGGAAACTTAAAATTGTGTTTAGGGTTACTGAAAATCCTAGATCAAGAAGTCTATCAGCTTCATCCAGCACTAGAAGTTCCTGAAAATGTAACATCTTTTCAATAAGATCTATCTGATGCTAATTTCTTTAGTGATAATTACCAAGGACTTCACACTAGCAGCTAAGTTAACATCCTTGCAATTAGATAATATGTCTTCCAATCTACCAGGGGTGGCTACAATAATATTGCAGCCTTCTCGAAGTTTTGCAATATCCTCGTCAACTGTAGTACCACCGACAAGAAGTATTTGCTTTAAACTTGAAATTCTTTCAAGAAATTGTGCTAAAACTTCGTTTATCTGTGTGGCTAATTCACGAGTAGGAGAAATTATGATTCCACCGATTTCCATTTTCTTCCATTTTTCCTCTCTTTTCTGTATGACAATATATTTATACGTTTTGGATAATTTAAAAATATATATTATAAGATAAAAAATTGCTCAACACTGTGAAATAAATGTTTAGCATTCGATATAAGTGGTATACCTGAAGCAATTCTAACATTGGAATAAGGAACGCTAGTGTCTTCCCACTGCCTGTAACAGCTTCTGCAGCTACATCTTTTCCTTGTAATAAAATTGGTATACATGCAGCCTGTAAAAAATATAATAAGTAGAAACTCTATAGTTTATAATAATTTTAAACATGCAGTCGCAATCGATATACCATTCAGATTCTCACCTGAATTGGTGTCATGGATGAAAAATTCAATTGTTTAACTGTTTTTAAAACAGCATCGCTTAGAGGAATATCCAATTCCTCCCACTTTTTACTTTTCATTTTTATTTTCAATTTAAAACTAGTTTTCGTATATGATCAATACCGAATTTAGGTTATAAAAGGCGCTGCTATGAATTAACATTGGTTGAACACGTGGTCGACACAACTCTATTGAAAGCTTCATCATTGGCCACATGAATCGATTTCTACGCGTGCTGTATGCCAAAGAAAAGCTCATAGCAATGGTCGAATTTCCTAAATTCGGCTTGTCTATTCAGCAAATTCCTTTTTCCTCAATTCTTTAATAAAATTTCGCACTGCTAATATCTATTATAATGATGTATACATCAGCTTAAAGTATGTGTTGGTAGGTGTGTAGCTCTCTTCTGATGTAGATTACACAAAAAAAAAAATTATTTCAAACTACTACCTTTATATGAGTACAAAAGGACAATAAAGAAAACGATGCAAAGGACGCGGTTAATTTTTTAATTTATTCATTTTATTTTGATGATCGTTTTTCTTCTATCTCTTCGATATAAAATTTGTATCTAACGATGCCACGCAGCGAACCATTTTCTCGCTCTCTTCCTCTCTCAGTCTAAACAAGGATCGTTATTCTGTCCGTTTGTCCGTCCTATGTACACGACTAGGTCTAAGGTCATAGGTATAGCTGTTAATATTCACTTCGCATTGATATAACGTGGGTGCTTGGCTGCGTTAAGAGATACCTAAAGCATAGATAGAGCGCACACATCTTAAAGTACAATTAGAACATCCGTTCGTCCGTTTATTATAAAAATTCTATCCATTAACATATCAAGAGCAATGCAAAAGCCTTGAATCTTTGACAGTGAATGTACAATTGTTCATAGAGATAAAACTAGCTACCAGTACACACTTAACGTAATTTTTCACTTAATGACATTGCACAGTCGCTTTCTCATTTTCATGACAATTTCTCGGTACTTGAATGCAAATTTTGTGATTCGATATTACAACAAAAAAAGAAACAAGAAATGACCGGCACCTTTAACATAAAATACGTAAAACTTAATAGTTATTTAATAATAGAGATAGTTAAGAGTGTAGAGGAATCTAGTGAAGACTACTAAGCCCTCAGAACCTTTCAGTTTTAATTGTACTTCAAGTGTTAGAGTGCGATGCAAATGTATCAACGCACATCAGTATATTCACTGTGTTCTAGCACAGGAATATTCAAGTATGCGTTTTATGGTACTCAAAATTCATGAAATTCATTTTCAAACTCGCGTTGTGTAGAATCGTAGTCGTGCGTCACGTTTTATCTTTGTGATTTAACTGTTCACGCGCAAGGGCTTCCACGAGGGATAGAGAAAATATTTAACCGTTCACAGAAAGAGAAAAGATTCCCCATTAATTATTTCGCGTCATTAAGGAGTTTATTAATTGAAGTCCCTTAAGCGTGAACTAATCAGACACTGGAAATAGATTCGTAACCATAGATCCTAGTTTAGTCTTATCGTCCTAGCTAAGAACACACGGTCTTATTAAAATCGTTTTATACCGGCAGTCCGAGCCCTTACTATCTAAATTAGATGCGTAACTCTCGAGTTTGTTTCCTCTTTTTTATTTCTTTCTTCGATATTTCTCTCTCTTCTCGAATCATCGACATTCATGGAAGCCCGTCGCACTTCCGTTATGTCGCGACGCGTAATTTTCTCTTGTTATTCTATTTCTTCGAATATATTCGCCTTTTTCAAATTCTTTGCAGCAAAACCCATCGCCAATTATGACTTGCTCACTGTATCCTGTATAGTTCATTCCACGACCTATTTTCTTCGCAAAAATACATCCTGTTGGATTTTAGTTGAAAAAAAATGTTAACCAACAACTATAAGAGCCATAAGAGCCTTTCATACGTTCATTCTCAATTTTGGACTTATCTTATATCGTATTCCTTTTTACGTTTCTCTCTACGTCGTGAGCCACCATTCTATCCCATAGTCTATTAGCTGTCTATAATATTTTGCGGTTGAATAGCGTGAATTCGTTTTCGATCAGTTAGGCTGCGTTATAATACATAATAGTATATCTTGATATCGCTTCCGGCCTCCCTTAGGCTTCCTGTATATCGTGCTAAGATTCGACAATCATCAACCATTAATGGCTCTTGATGTTGCCAAAAGAACTCTCTCTCTTTTTTTCTCTCTCATTCTGCAGAAAAATATCACTCTCGATCTTTAGACTCTTAACTGTACATCTTCTCTTTCAAAAGAAAAAGCAAAAGATTAAGTATTTTCACGATTGAAAAAACTTTCTCTACGATCCGTCAAACGAATCCTCGTGATGTCAAGGCAGCCAGCGCTTTCTTTCTCTGTGAGATTTTTAATATCGAACGATCTTTTTCTTTGCATTCTTTCCTTTTTCCTGGTAAAGAAAGTTCATGTCAAGTCTTTTTGCAGTTACCATTTCTTTAACAGACTTCCTAATACAGTTATCTTTCATTGTTCACTCGTGTTCAAAGATATGAAAACGAATCTTGAAGGAATTCGACATAATCCATGTAATTCTATCTTCTATTGGAAACGCACTGTTTGAACAAAGAGATTTTCATGATGCCTTAACTTTTTTTTCGTCTTTCATTCGGTGCCGCACTAAGAGCAGTATTACATTTTCATGTTGCAGATCTCATGTATCGTTTGTCCACAAATTGTATATTAAGAAAAAATTCTATTTTATATCGTATTTTCTTTTTGACAAGCCAGCTTCAAAATGACGCTTCTTAATGTTTTTCGTGATAAAACGTTTTCGCAAAACGTATTATATATATGGTCGCTATCGTGCTACTGATCGGACATGATCTGTTGGAATCATGCGCTCACGAGGCATTAACACTGGTATTCTTAGCTATCATTTTGTTGTTAAATATCGCGTTAATAGACAGAATTTTTCATATAAAATGTCGTTTCGCGATACGGTGATATTAAAAAGAAAGTTTGCCCTGTGAAAATGTATTGCAATATCAACGCAAGCAACAAGTAATCGTAAATAGTCTTCCGGGAACTGTAATCTTGTAACGTGAATCACCATTGTGATCTTTATAGATTTGCACATGTAAACAAGTTCCCTTCACAATACAGTTGGCTCCTCAACGCGATAGCTAAGGCTACTCATACTTCCTCGAAGTGTTTGGGCCTTCATGAACGATAAACAATAATAAGTTGGCATTCAAGGTTGAGACAAAAAAATAATTTTTAAAGCGACATCTACGAAATGAACGAGAAAATAGAGAAGGTAGAAAGAACGAGAAAACATAACTGGATTCAAGGAGATTCCTGGTCTCGTTAATGGCATGACCCCATGAGACCGGACAGAGTCCAGGCCGCAGCACGTTCGCTCGTCAGTCCTCAGAGAAGCTCCGTGCCATCGTGAAAGCGACTTTAAATTTAAAATTTCTCTTTATAATTCCTCGGAATAAGGATAAACCTCTCTGCCTTGACGCGCCTATTGGCTACTACTGATTGTGCGGTAGAATGACAGGTATGGTCTGCTGAGCACCTGGTGGAGGTTGCGGTGGTAGATACTGCATGTGCTGAGGCGGTATCATGTGTGGCGGAATAATCGGACACATCACGGGGTAGCCTGGTGCATGGCTCTGTGGTGGTGGCTGTGGATATGCCGGCTGCGGTGTTCCTGGTGGATTGTAGGCGCCAGGAGTGTGCGGTGGATTCGGATTGGCAGGAGACGGCGTCTGGCTGGGGGGCTGTTGAGTCACATGAGGATGTGGATGAGCGTGGGGTCCCATGTACTGAATTCCTGGTGCTTGAGGCCCGGGCGACTCGTGATGATGGTGATACGGCGTAGTCATATGAGGTGGCGGGGGTGGTGCCTGCACCATACGCACCATCTGCTGGTACGCCGTAGGCTGGCCTGGATAAGGCACCTGAAAGGGTGATGGATGAAGTGGTGCTGGTGCCAGCAATGGCTGACCTGTAGCTGCTGCGACTTGCATTTGGGAAGCAAGATCTGGAGCGCGATGCTGCATCATAGGAACTGTGAAGAAAATTATTACATCTTCAATATATTTAATAAGAATCTTGAGTTTCTGTAGATAGCAAGTAATTTGCTTCAAGACGTCAGTTTTATGTGCAAGTGGTTATCTTATTCTTACTGGGATTGTTCGTTGCGGAAGTATAAGAAGACAATGATTGCTGGACTCGTTTGATACCTAGATACTGACCCTTCCGGAACCTCGTGACCGGTTGGGCAGGAGGTTGAGTGAATGCAGTAGGTGGCTGACTGGTCATTACGTAGGCAGTTGGCATTACAACTGTCGTTGGCATTGTTGCACTTGTATACTGTGGCGTCTGCGGAGTGTGAGGTCTACTAGGAGTTGGTGTACTTGGGGAACGCTGAAAGCATACATCAAATTATCTTACACGTTTTTTTTATATTTTAGAAAAAAAAAAAAAAAAAAAACGAACAGTTCCCAATTTATATAAATATAAATAGAATAAAAAGAAATAAAAAGGAATGTTCTCACCGGTGTGAATGGTTTGGCATTGGGGTTGAACTCCTTAGCGTTGGGATTCAGTGTAGATTTCTTGAAGGCAGTAGTGATTTTTTCTACGGCTGGTTCCTGCTGCGTTTGCTGCATCGGAGGTGTGGTTTGCTGTTGAATCTGATGCTGTTGTTGCTGTAGCGGACTTGCAGGTCGAACGGGTTGTGGTCCCGGTGGTGGCTTGGCGGTAACTGGAACCTGTTCCTCCGGTGGTGGTTGATGATTGCTTTGATGTTGCTGTTGTTGCTGATGGGTTGTCTGGTGCGGCGGCGGCGGCGGTTGTTGTTGTTGCTGCTGCTGCTGCTGCTGTTGTTGATTATGTTGTTGCTGCTGCGGTTGTGGAGACTGATGTTGTGTATGTGTAGCTTGAGAATGTGCTTGCTGATGGTGTGGTTGAGGAATCTGTTGTTGCTGATGAGAATCCTGTTGATGTTGTTGTTTTCGACTCAGAGGAGGCGTATCCTGGGATTGTGTGTCAATCAATTTGAAGTCTGTTGCAAACTGCCTCAGTTCCGAGTGTTGTTCGTCTCTTCCACGCGGGGTTGATACCTGGCAAAGAAAGATAATCATTGTTTATTATTATACTAACTACGAAGTATGAAATCCGATTCGATTAATTTTGATAATATACCTTTCTGTGTTCCGATTTCAGTGGTGGTATCTCACATCGTTGACCGTCGACGGAATTCTGTTGCTGCAACGGTGGATGCTGTTGATGAGGCGACGGCTGCTGTGACTGATGTGAGGTTGTCAAGTTCGCCGGAGGAAATGGGGCTGGTGGAGCCTTGTCTGCTTGATACACTTGTTGTCTCCCAGGTCGCTCTCGTTTCTCGGCATTTAATTTACTAGGTGGCTGTTGTTGTTGCTGTTGCTGCTGTGGCGAGAAGGCCACTTGGGGAATCGACGGTGCTACTTGAGGTTGTTGTTGCGCCTGCTGTATCACTGCATACACATAAAAAAGATTGGACCAATCATGGTAGCTCAGTTAATTGAGGAGGTTTCGTTGTATAATACATACCAGGTACTGCGGCCACCGGTGGCGGTGGTTGTGTCGTTGGAGGCGGTACAAAAGGTGGCGGGGTGCTGTAAGCAACAACTATTCCACTGGGTGACATTCCCATGTTGAGAGGTACTGGATGTTGTACGGATGGGTGTGCAGTTTGCATTCCCACTGGAATGTTAGTAGACTGGGCGACGCTTACGTTGATTGCGGATGGTGGTGGCTGGTTGAAGACATTTTTACTAGTAGTAGGCCCTGGTGATGGTGGTGGTGGCGTTGATCGCATCAACTTTCCGGCATTGCTGCTTTTCCTTTTAGCAGGCGGAACGTATTTACCTTCATTGGGCCTCACCTTGCAAAAAGACAGACAATTCGTATGTTTTGGATACTTTCAACGATCAATCAGTTTTTTTTTTAATAAAAATTATATTGGTCATAATATCATAGGAAGAATTGAGCGTACCACCGCGGCGAACTTCTCTTCTTCGTCGCCGTTTTCCAGATCCAATCGTGCCTTGTAATTCGGCTGAGACTCTATCTCACTAGCTATTTCGCTAGCTTTTAATTCCTGATCCTTGTAATCCTTTGTGTCTTTGCGTTGGAGCGGTACCGTGTATTGAAGCAATGAAGGTTCAAACGTAGACTGTACCCCGAATTGCTTATTCGTACGGAACATTTCATCCACACCCCAGCCATTCTACACATAGAATATAATATTACATAACTGAGAATATTATTTATTCCAGTTAAGAGTTTACAAAGGAACTATGAGAGTGACTTACTGCAGTAACATCTAATTCCATGTCATCACCATTCATAGTAGATTCACTCTGCCAAGGTTCCAGCTCTTTTTCACCAACCATACCATTAAATTTACTAATAGCTGTGTCAGTTTGGAAAGTGTCTCTGATAGCATAATCCAAATCTACATCCCTGGCAGACATTGTGATAATATCCTGGGGCTTAAAGATCAACTTCTCCACAACACTGTCGACGCAAATTTTACCAGAACTGTCAACGCGATGAGCCATTTCCAGAACTACATCAAATTGACTGGAAAATGTACGAAACACTCCCTCGTACACTGAACCGTTTTGAGTTTGAATCTGCATTTGCAAACATTCATCTTTCATTATAAAACATATGGTGCACTTAAATCGACAGAGATAGAGATGTTTATTTAGATTTTTATTATATTCCAAGTTAGTATATTACCTGAACTATAATACCAACATGGCTGGTTATTGCATGCATGAAATGAGCATTGTTGTATACCCCTTCTGCAACCACGCACCTTTCTTGAGGCCCCCTAGGCCTTGGTGATCTGAAAGTGCATATTACTTTTATTTTCAATGCGATTCAAATATACAGTGATTTTCTGAAAAGGAAATTCTTATAAAATTGACAAAAAGAACACAAGACACATGTACCGTTATATTTACAGTGGAATACAGTTTATATAATAATTGTGTGTATGTGTATTACTAAAAAATAAAAAATAGTTTTGATATAGAAAAATATTTGAACTCAGTGAAAGGACAGCATAAAAAGTAATACCTTATTAGACATATGAATATATATTTCATATTGTCTGTATCTTTTATAATATCAAATTAGACATTGGTAATAAATACAAATCATAACTAGGACATGAGTAATTCTGTCCATTTGCACCAATTATTATCAATAATCATTCATACACAGTCGTAATGGTGCTAACATTAACAACAATGTAGCAAGAACCTGTGAGACAAAGGATACCTATGGTATCAATACAAAGTCTCTATTATCATTGAACTTCAGATACTTTTCCCTTCAAAACAATAATAAATAAAAAAAAAACAAGAAAAGTATTTGTTCAAGAGGTTTCAGTTAGAGAGGGCCTGCTTCATCTAAAGTGAAACCAAAATTCTGATGAAGCAAAGACTTGCCTGGTGGGATTAGTACGATTTTTCCTTTTACTGTTCATTTTTCCAGCCGACGACGATTCTTCGTCAGTGGTCGGTGGATTTTTGCCGCCGGTTTGCTGGGCGCCTTCTCGTTTCCTAGTGGGGACCGGAATTTTGGCTAATTTCTCTGTGACACCTCACGCTAAAAAATACTCTGCTAAGAGAATACAGCGGTTGGTCAAGGGATGACGTTGGGAAGCTCAAAGAATGAATTTCAGACGACTTTCGCCCGTAGAGGTTAAAGGTCGAGTCGCGGAGTCCTTAAGCCAAAGAGGTTGACAAGAGATGCCGTGGCTCAGAATTGGCAAACGGGCGCAAATGTATTTTAGGTTATAAACAGGCTAGAGAAGCGTGTGCGACGACCAATATGAGGTGGACAACAACAAGGGCGGTACAAGGAGAGATCCTCAAGATGCAATTATAGTAAGATGTGAATAACTACTAAAATACGGTTTCAGGGAGGACGCACAGTGGAACACGAGCTCGCACGAAAGACGATAGCTCCGTGTCGCGCGTGACGTAACTTCTCGGCTTAGTGCTAGTTGCCCATAAGGATTTCCGCGTCGACGAAATGGCAAGCCGCGCGATAAGAGCCTCGATCACTGATTCCAGCCGCGATTGTGCACTCGTCTTTAATTAATCAACATGTGGTAAACGGTAAAACTCAGCGTAAGTCGCCCGATCGGCCCGATCCCGGTGACTGTCCGATCTGCTCGCCTCCTAGCGGCAATCTTTCGAAACTCACCCACCCCAGTCATTTCAACGAATTCCATGTAGCTACGTCACTGTGTTCACAGTAAAGGCCTCTTCACGAGTATGCAAACGACTACCTTCCACAAATACTTTCACTAGCAGCACATACGTGCGCTTGCTACAATTTTCATGGTTAATGCATTTTTTTACAGTGACGAATTCGTTGGGCTACAATACGACGTCGAACAACGATTCTTTTCGATCTTTTCACTGCTATCAAGTCATTTATGTCTCCTTTTAGTCGAGCCTTGAGATTATTTCTGATTAATTTTCTACTGAGGATATAGAACGACAAGTTCACTGGTCTTATCGCCATTCGAGATAATCGAGATACATGATACTTCACTTTGATTGTATGCGTCGATGCAGCTATTATATATATTCTAATGCACAGATTATATTTCCTTAGGAAACTGCACTGGGTAGCAAAAGTTGTATGAGCATGTTAATGTAACTGGCATTATATATAATTTTATATAACAAGAAAATCTTGAGGTGTTTTTAATGACAATTAAGTGAGAAAGGAAGCTAACGTAAAGTACTAATTGTAAATCATTTAGAGTCAATTAGGCGTTTTAACGGTCATTTCAGTTTTCTTATTGGATGTATATTCGCAATGGGAAACGGAAGTGTTGAAATTTAACTTTTGACTCTTGGGAATCCCCGAATATTCCCGCGCGGCGGGAAAATCAATACTTGCGCAACGTTAAGCGCACTGAGCGCATGAGCCAGTATTGCTCTTCTGTTCAATACCTGCTCGACTCTCGGGCGTATTGTACTACCTGCACTGGTGAATAATATTTCATCGAACAGTTTCATTCACAGTAAATCACTGAAATTTAATATAATCTCTGTAACTACCAGTGAAAAATATGTCTGGTAACAAGTGCGTGAAACCGCCTCGCAAGGCTTATACAAAGGAACCACACGAGATGACCCATTCGGAGAAGCTGAGACTTATTGACGATGAGCTCAATTCATTTTACAAGTAAATATAAATTTTATTGCATTTAACATTAAATATTGTTATTCTTTCTTATTGATTGTCTTCTTGCTAGAAAAACAACAATTTTTTATATTTTATCATAATATCCATTGTCTTCATTTGTATAAAGGTACTGCCAGCAGGCCGGCTTCACCGAGGAGGAGATGGACATTATTTGCCAACCTCTAGTGGCCGCAATGCGTAGATCCTGGCTGCAGCTTGTTTTTCGAGCTACTCTGATCCTTATATTGCTAGGAACAATAGCCTGTCTTGCAGCTCAACTCGACTTTGTGGGCACCCACTTTTCAGCAATTGGTCGTCTCCTGCTGATCAAGGTTCTACCAATCTGGAACTGGCAGCCCCTTTATTATGAAAACTGTATGATCAACAATCCCTTCTACAATGACTATACCATCACCGAGGAAGACTGTGTGGTAAAATCAATGGTAGTTCCATTCGGTTCAAGATCCATGCGATACACTGCTTCCTCTTCAGACATGCGAGGCACTGGAGACTATCGATCGTCTATCGGATGTCCGTTACCGTCAGTTGGTCGACAACTACCTGAGCAGGGATGCACCAGCTATCATCACCGATGCCATGGACTCCTGGGCGGTCATGAATACCGATTACTTTTGGTTTGACAATATTACTCATGTGCGTAAAAAAGTTTAAAGTTCGCTATAACGGATACCGTGGCATTATTTTATTTCGAAAATTGACAGGCCTTTATTTCTAATTCTAGTTGTATTTGGAGAACGAACGTTTGATGGAGACGGTACCCTGCGCACTAACATCTAATCTACGTACCGGCTCCTCGGACCTCGCAGCGTTTCTGCGAAGAGTTCATTCACCTGAGGTCGCCAAGTGGTTCGTGCATTGGCAGAACTGCGACATCAATGCCGTCAAGGTTCTTAGAAAATATTACCAGAGACCTTACTTCCTCTCCAGCACGGTTTCGCCGGCTCACTTCAATTGGGTCCTTATGTCCTCGGACTACAACAGTCCCAGTTACAAGAAAGTGGAGTTGGACTCGGGGCTGATTGCCCTTGCACAATTGAGAGGTGCCACTCAGCTTAGACTGACTCCAATAAATCCTTGCAACAGTTCCTGCCCTGAGTTAATCGCAGATTTACAACAAGGCGAGATGCGTGAGTGTTCTAATTAAAAATAAAGATTCCTCGTACTTTTCTACACATTTTAAAATAATATTTAACCACGATTCTTCTAGTGGTCTTCACTAACCTGATGTGGACCTTGGAGTATGCCCCAATGAGAGGCCTCGATAATATAGCAATCCTCACAGAAACTGTATGGGAAGAGGACATGTAGAAAATATCATCTTCTCGAAAGGGATATACGTACCATTTAGGTTTGTCTTTAATGATGCATGCATCACTCTACTCTTTATATAACATTGTATCCGTAAGAGTGAAAATATATTGAATCAGCTCATTACAGAAATTCTTGTCAATTTTATTCAGTGTACCCAGACCACTGTTAACTAATCTCTACGAAAAGAGACCATCGGCACCCTATCTAACTGTATACAGTGACTGAGAGTCTTATAATTATTCGAAAATGAAAAAGCTTTGAGATTCTCTTGAAAATATTAAGCTCCCGAATTGTCTTGCGTAATACCTTTATTTTCCTCTGAATAATATTCTGATAGTTACTGGTCTCAGATAAGACTCAGTTTGTATTGAGCCATTTATAATTTCCCCCAGTTTTCTAAGATTCATAGCAAATTGATTAGGTCGAGCAGTAATCATCTCACTAACATTGGTCATGTCCTGTGGTCAGTTTTGAATAGCCCGCATGTCCTGTGGTCGGTTTTGAATAGCCCGCGAGAGGAGAGAGCCTGCAAATAAAATGCGCGCGCATTCGCGTCCGAACGTCTCTTCTTCGTTCGAAGAATTTCTTTTTCAAGACATTTTTTTTTTAGAAAAAATAAATAAATATTTCGCAGAGTCGATTAAAACATTTCAAATGGACGTTCGACGCAAAGCGTATGGGGTTCCAATGTGTCATGAGTAACAACAAACAAGATTCCATTTTATTAAGTAATCGTTTATAATAACATTGTATTCTTGAAATACGTTTTCTGTCGATCTTATCTCACACAATCATATATATATATACAGGGTGTTCGTTAAGAGAGAGAGAGAGAGAGAGAGAGAGAGAGAGAGAGAGAGAGAGAGAGAGAGAGATACATATATATATACAGGGTGTTCGTTATGAAACGCACTGTAGTAACATCGTTGCATTCCTTTTCAAATTCTAATGAATACGTGTATTTTCATTTTTTATTTCATATATCAAAATTTCGAGATAATCAAGGTTGAAGTTGCAGTAATGCGACCAATCAGAACGCGTTTAAACGGAGCGTAGATGACGTCGCGAGCCAGCCCGCAAGGCCTGCTTACACTAGGCCAATAACACTAAGAGTATCGTCGTTGTGTCCCTGTTTATCTGCATAGTTTATCTGCATATAATTGAGTAAGATACAAGAGACGATACTCTTAGTGTTATTGGTCTACTGTAAGCTGGCCTTGCGGGCTGGCTCTGGACGTCATCTACGCTCCGTTTAAACGCGCTCTGATTGGTCGCATTACTGCAACTTCAACCTTGATTATCTCGAAATTTTGATATATGAAATAAAAAATGAAAATACACGTATTCATTAGAATTTGAAAAGGAATG